AAGTGGACTGAAAACTTATGGAGCCATGGGTCTCCTAATAGTACCTTCCCTCTCAGGGTAGACAAACAGGCTAATATCCATGAGCTAAATTCTTTGAGCTAAATTCTTTCACTCAGAAAGCTAAGCAAAGGTGCTTATCAGAAACACACACACACACACACACACACACACACACACACACAGAGTTGTCCATCTCAAAAAACAAAAGATGAAAGAATTTATCCCCTATGGAAAATTTGCTGCCAACAAAACTTCCTCTTTCTAAAAACCAACAAAGCTTTCCAGCTTTTTTGTTTCTTTTATCTGGATATTACAAAAATAGTGGAAACCATCAAAGACCATTATTCTTGCTAAGAATCTTCAACCTCTTCTAATAGGAGACTTCCAGAGAAAAAAGTCAGTGAACTGGAACTCATCAATGTAACCACTTACCTAATTAGCAGTAACAGTGCTATTTACACAAAGTCTTTAATAACATTAAAAGTCAAATTCTGTCACAAATTTTAAGACATATTTTAAATACAAGTGATTAATCACTCTCAAAAATAAATTTAGCTGGGTAAGAAATCCCCAACTCCATTAGTATTCTCTGACATTCACAAATTCCCCTTTGTCATATCTAAGGGTTTATAGGATTGGCACTGGCTTTAGCTAAAAAACAGTCAGACTGCTGCATATTGCATCAAGCAGCTGCTCTAAACAGATCGATGATGATTTTTTTGGTTCAATTACTAAGGGGAGTAAGAACTTTGGCACCCAGCAACGCTGTGATTTGCTTAACTAGAAAATGAGAGAGTTGTATTAAACTATTACTAAGGCTTCTTCCAGTTCCAGATAAATGCAGTTCTACGATTTTACGTGTTTGGAAAAGCACCAGAAATTGAGTCGATGCCGTAGTGTAATGTAGTGTAATGCCCTCCACTCCGATGCACCTGAAAGTCCATGTTAAAATGTAAACCCACCATCTGGGGAAAGTGGCATTAAGACTATCAGCCAGCACCATATTAGGAGTTAGCTTCAGGCAGTCAGAGTTCCCAGGATGAGCAGTTGCTGGGAAGAAAAGGATTGAAGCAGGCATTATAAATCAAATGCCTGTAGGAGACAGGCTAAGAGCACAAACAAATGGGAAGAGCTGAATGGGAGTGTGAAAAAATGTAGAAGTGGTCCTCAGCTCTAACTGATGGCTGCCTGAGGAATCAAGGCTCAGGGTTATCCCATCTTCAGATTTTTCCAAATAAGGGTGAAAAGCTATAAAAGCTCTCAATTTTAAAATATTGGATCAAAATATTTTAAAACATTATACAAGTCAAATATGTCTCCACACCAAATACACCTGAGAGTTTGGATGTAGCACACTCTACCATCAAGGAACATAACATAGGGAAGGATATAACATAGAAGAGGGGTGGGGGGAGGCACGGCAAATGGGAAGGACCAAGGGGCTAAAATGAAGTGGGGAAGTGATTGGCTTCACTAGGAAATTCAGAAGAGCAAGCAAACTCGGGGGTAGAAGATATCAAATCAGTGATGTTAAAGCTCTTTGGTGTGATTAACTCCATGTGCTTTTCTTCAGGGATTTTCTGTGGAAAAATTAAATGTAGCAGGCCAAATTAGGTCTCCTCAAAGATGTCCATGTCCTCCTCCCTTACCCATTCCACCCCCACCATGTTACTTCATAGTTAAAAATATTTTGCAGATATGATTAAATTAAAGATCTTGAGATAGGATAACAACCCAGGATAACCCAGGATAATCCCTCTAATGAGCTCAATCTAATCACATGAACCCCTAAAACCAGAAAATCTGTCCTGGCCCTGGTCTAGAGGGAAATTTGATTATGGAATAAAGGCCAGAGCGATGCAATGCTGCTGGCTTTGAATACAGAGGAAGGGGCCATGGTCCAGGGAACACAGGCAGCCTGTGAAAGCTGAAAAAGCAAGGAAATGGATGATCCAGAGCCTCTGAAAAGGAATACACTCCTGCTGACACCTTTATTTTGGCCCATGGAGCCATGTTAGACTTTTATCCTACAAAACTGTAAGATAATAAGTTTGTTTTGTTTTAAGCCACAAGTTGTGGTCCCTTACTACAATAAAATTGGGGAAAAAATCAATATATTATGTATACTCTGAGACTTTGGCAAAAGCATTCCTGCATCTTTCTGAAGCTCGTCTGCAGACAAAGATACAGGCTCCTTATGCTGGAAAGAGCTCAAGGTACAACAAATTGTATAAGCTGTAGATTTGTGTGGAAAGATCAATACCTACCCCATGACCTCGAAAAGCTCTGAAATCCCACTTTTAAAAGGATGAATTAATTCTCTGAAAGTTGCTCCTTCAAGTCTCAGCCACATGACATGTGAACCCTTTGTGGCTCCTTGCTACAGAATGATTTTCCTTCTTTACTTGTGGGGTTGGTTATGTTAATAACCTTTCCCCTACACTGCACACCCCCACCTCCAAGAAGGTGGCATTTTACACCTGCTGAGATTTAGCCTGGCTTCTTCCCTCACTCTCAGCCAGACCAAGGTCTGGCGTGTCCTGTTACAGTATCATGTCTCTATCAAGATTTTACTGGGAATGATGTGTCTGAACCTGGCCATATGCTGGCTTAAGACAGAAGAGGAATGTTATCAGGAATGTGAGCTACCTGACTCAAAGTTGTTTTTAGCCTCAGATCTTCTTTCACCAGTTCATCAAATTTCACAATCCCAGTAATATTTTGGATTATGTATTGTTTTAAAAAATTCCATTAGAAGGTCCTTGGGTAATGCCATCATAATTGTGACGAATAAACCTGTGGTTTAAAGGTTACCAACCTAATCTAAATGCTAAACCTAATAATTCTAGACAGAACTGGCCTAGCATCACTCCCCATCTATGACTTAAGATCAGATCCTCTGACTGACACCAGTGCATAGAAGATTCTGTAGTGCTGCTAGTTCAGAAACCTAGATTGTATGAAAATCGTAAAAGTGGGGCATTGGGGGCTAGAAGGGGAAAGGATTACAAAGTATTTTGAATCTTATAAAGGTTTGTTAAAGGTTAGCTGTAGACAAACCAAATCTACGTGCATAAGGAGAAGCTGTCAATCAATACGACTATGTTCTGGTCCTCAGACTTATTGAGGAAGGTCATTCCATACCTGATTTTTCCCCTCCGTTATGTAGAGAAGGTCCAGGAACCTCCTAAAATTTTACCCAACCTATGTGTGTCTGTATGTGCATTTTCTTTCTTTCTTGTGGCAGGTTACTATGAATCTGAGGATTTGAATAAAGTACAACTCCCCGCCCCAATAATGGAATATTTAAAATAATTCTATTTTAAAATCCATATTCTTTGCTTTTAACTACTCATAGGAATGATCTCCACCACAGAATCCTACTAGATTTCAGACTTGCCCTCTGACAACATTAAAATTATCAGTTAGCATCCCTACCATCAATAGGATATATTTAAGCAAACTTGAGAAAATTAATTGCCAATACCATTTTTTCCTATCAGCCTCTGCTGTATGTCCACCCCCAAGGGACTGCCATACATTCCACACACAAGCCTGAATGATTTAGTTTTGGGTCTTGTTTGTTTTGTTTTGCTCTTATACTATTTTGAAATATGCTTGGGAACTAGTTGACCTTATTCTTGCTGAGATGCAGTCCTCAGGCTAGTGCAGGGAGACAGGGTCACTGCCTAAGTTGATTCTAGCCAGCTAACAAGTATTTTAATTACAATTAGGCCTAAAATAGTAGGGAGAATATTCTTATCCACGAGGAAATGATATGTTTGAGTCCAACAGGTGTTATCTAAGGTCAGATAAGAATAAACAGGTAAGAGATAGCAACTTGTGAGGAGAGTTCAGAAGGTGCCTGTGAATTCACTTGGGTAGTGGGTCATTTTTCCTTGCAGGTCCCCACCAACCCTTTAGGGTTCTAGGATTCTAAATTTAGTATGCTGAACGTTTTAAAGCATGATTATAGAGCACAGCCAATCTCTCTGTAGTTGGTTCACTTAGACTGTGCTGCCTTAGGAAAAAAAAATCTAAAGGTCAAACTCAGAGGCACAACACTCCCTTTCCACTGAGTGAGGGCTATGATTACACCACACACAAGATCCTACAAAAACAGCTGACACAACTCACAGTTAAATTCTTTCTTCTGTTTATTTTCAGAAGAGACTTTCCATAGACAGCTGCAGTGCCAGTCTCCCATCAGAATGTCATGCCAACCTTTCTGCAGGCAGATTTCCACCCACATCCTTACCCTGGGTCCAGCAGATCTGATAGGCTACAAAGGCCAGCCATGGGCTACTTCAGGGCTAAGGCCACTGGATACTTGGGGTCAGCATAGAAGCATTAGAAACTATACCTGCCGTGCCAAACTCTGACATTTGTAGGTTCAAATTCTGACACAGCCTTTTTTCTTGGAGGGGGCACAGTACTGGGGATTAAACCTAGGGACATTCTACCATCAAACCTTTTTATTTTTTGAGACAGGTCTGAGGCTGGTCTTGAACCTGTGATCCTCCTGCCTCTGGTTCAGTCTTTTATCTTGTGCAGTTTCCGGCAAGGGCCTTAATGTCTCTCAGCTTCAATCTCCTCCACAAAACGGAACTATGAGTGACTAGCTTTCTCAGCAAGTAGAGATGGCTAAATGAGATCAGAGTTGAAAAGTAACTGGCATGATGTGTACACAGTCGTCACTGATTTGTCATTATCCCAGAAGAAAATCTAATCCCCTCTGCCATGAAATGAAAGGGGCAGAATAAATTAAATCAATATTTCTCCCCCAAAGGAGGACCTATCTCCACTCTTCCCTGAATCTTAACGCTGATTATCTTCAAATAGAAAGACAGGGAAAGTAGGTCTTTATGTTTCTCTTTGTCCTTTCTCAGACTATAAGGAATGCCAAAGATCAGAAAGCCCTGACATCACACAAGTTAGTACTTTTGGTAAACAGACTCCAGGCACAGTGCAGCTCCTGACAACAGAGGACTCACCTTGGTTGAAGTCGAACTGCTTCTTGACACCTGAAGGTGTTGTTCTGTGGACTCTCGTGAACTGGCGTTCCTGTTCTGCCCTGGCACTCCAACTGGCTGGGCCCCACGTGCTCTGTCTCCTACAAGAAGAAATTGTAAATGTAGATGAGCTGTCAGCAGTGAGTGATCAGATCCTCAGCTTTCTGTGGCTGGGGGCCTTCTTAGGGCAGGGGAGCAGCAATATATCACACACACATTCTACTGAATATAGTGTGGGAAGGGAGAAATTCAGGGGTCAAAAATTTAAAATATTCCTATCAGTCAGTTGCTGCAAGATTATAGGAGAAAAGAAAAAAAAACTGAAAAAAATCTAATGTCCAAAAGTTCTGAACTAGCCACCCAGTAGAATTTTACAGGCATTAAAGATAATGTTATAGAAGACAATTTAATGAAGAGCTACATCTGAAAATATAATTTATAGAATATTTATAGTATAGGCTAATGTTTGTAAAACAAACCTATGTGAATGTACATTTACACAGGGATAAGCCAAATCAAAATCTTAACCATGATTAACTCTGGAGATGTCATTTTTGTCTCTTTTGGGTACCCATATGGATTTTCTAAATTTTCTATAATAAGAAATTTAAGTTAATCTGAAAACTAAGGAACAACCCATTTTATAAAATCCAAATCCCAAACATGATTGATGTCTTCCCCCCTTTCACATATAACTATTGCCATTGGCTACACTGCATCCAAAAAACCCACCACATTGGGCATCCTTGATGCAATCCACTCATTGATTTAGAAAAACTCCAGAGTGCTAAACACTGGAGAATATCATAAACACACCCAGCTAAAAATAGTCTGGATTTAATACAAAGACTTACAAAATGAAAGATTTAAAAGTCTAGCAGTTCAATTATTATAACCATTGAAACTTTGCAAACCTCCAAATTCTTAGAATAAGACATTCCTCTTTACCTAATAAACGAGATACTAAAATGAAAATCCATGAGAAATTCCATAAATCCAGATGGTTACCACCATACAGTCAAAATGTTTGACAAGTGCAGTGATTTTTTTTTGTTGGGTAGTATATTGTGTTGACAAATAGATACCCAGCCCTTGTACTAGGAGTTGCATTGAAGTCTATACAAGTGACAATGTGTCAAATGTCTAAAAAGTCATTTTTCCAAAATATTATAATAATCTGCTGGGGTTATTTGCCAAGTCATCATCACAAACTTCTGAAACAAAATCTTACAAATGCCTTCACATAAGGTAAGTTGAATAGTGGGATTGGTAGGAGAGCTGAAGGGAAGGAATGAATTAAATCTATTAGGAACTGTAATACTTCCAAGCCTCCCTATTCAGGACAAAGACTCTTTACATGAAATGTTCCACAAGCATCCACTTGTGGAACATGTCTAGTTTTCTAGACAGTAGTTTGTGAGAAATTCTATAGCTACACAAACACTGGCCAACTTCCCACACACAATGATTTCAAGTAAGATGGCTTTGCTTATTACTCGCTAGGTATGTGACCTTGGCCAAGTTATTTAAATTATGTAGCCCTCAGTATCCTGGTCTATAAAAATGGGAATTTTCCTTCCAACCTCACAAGGTTGTTAAACAAGATGCGATGAACAGCTCTTTTAGTGCCTGACAACTAGAATATATAGCAGATCAAAACTGTTGATGATGATAATATTCCTTGAGATATATTGGGCCTCAAGATACATAAAATTCCCTTAGAAAAAAAAACAACATTCTAAAACTTGGGCTAAGGAAATGCTTAACCTAATTTCAGCAAAAGACCTAAAGGTTTTCTATATTAACATTAATATTAAACATCATATTTACAGCCTCAATGACTTAAGAAATTTAAGACTTAAGGCCTTAAGAAATTACCCTGTTAGTCTCTAAAAAAGTTTAAACACAAAATTCACATTTTATTAAAACTCTCCTCTTTAGGGAAGAGCAGCCTGTTTTTCCAAAGATAGTATTTCATCTAATTCTTTGAGCCTTCAACTCATTGAGAAGGGTAGAAGAGACCACTCACTGGTGGATTCCCTTAGATCTAACAATTTATCTCAGAGATCAATAAGAGGGAATTTGAAGAGAGTAGTCTCTTAATCTGGTCAGAATTCTCAAAGCATTGCAAGAGGAGAACTTCTGAGACGGTGAATAAGGAGTACTTGGAGATGGCTGACAGTCAAGTCGCCAAATCAAATGCAGAGAAAACGCAACTATCATGCTTCCTTAGGCACTAAGAATTCCAAACCTCAATGTGTGTGGAGATGGGGAAAGAGTAAGGAGTAGAGTGAAAATCATCATGAACACTGAGGAACAAAGCAGGCTCTGATGTGAGACAGATGCATGATAGCAATGACAGGTTGCTCTTTCCAATGTCCAAAGATCACATCCCAAAGTTCAGATCTCCAAAATCCCCTCCAATCAGAAACTCAAATCTAGCCTCTGTCAGAAAATGAATTCCTTCAAAGCCCCTATGAGTTTGGAAAAATCTTCTGTTTATAAGAAAAATATTAAAGATTTTCCATTTAGTCGCTTCTATTCCATTATCTCTTCATGAAATGTCCCTGTGTGAGCCAATAACCCCAGCAAATCTCACACCGGAATGTATAAGGCTTTAAGTGATTATGACTTTAAGGTCATAAGTCTTCCAGCGAAGGTCCAAGACATCACAGAGATAATACCTCCTTGTGTCCCGAGTTGCTGACCAACAAACTATGAGATGTAATAAGTAGTTATTAATTTAAATTTAAGAGTTATTTGTCACACAGCAGTAAATCTTTCCTCTAAGATACCAATAATGAAAAAAAACACCATCTATTTGATTAAAAAATATTTTTAGCAGAAAATAATGCACACTAAATGCACCTATACATTTTAAGGTACAGATATGAAAAAGTTGAAAGTCTGAAAGGACCTGTGTGTTGGAATTAAGAAAACACAAATCATGCCTGGTAGAGCCTGGCATGTGAAAGTAAGCCGTGTCAAAAAAACAAACCCAGAAAAAAATGATTGCAAGATTCCAATCTGGGGGATCTAAGATGGTGGGCCACAGAGAGGCAGCATTCTGAGTCGCTCAACCCAACACCCCACCATGGGAAGCAGCCCACCTCCATCATGGGTCCCCTTCCTTGCCATCTCTGATTGGAACTCCAGCTGGCCAGGTGTCCGGTTTCCAACTCCTCCCTCCCCCAGTGCCCTGTAATCCCACACAGTAACTGTCTAACACAAAACAGCTCAGTGGGACCAGGGTACTGCCCACAGAAGCCCCAGTGAGAGAGGCCCATTAATTGGGAACTATTAAGAGAAAGGGAAAGGTTGCAACCGTGTGGAGACTAACAGATCAGGAACTGGGAAATCTGGAGGCAAGATAGGGAGACAGGACGGGGGTGCTCAAGTCAAATGAGCGGATCCAAAAAGAGACCCTTGTGGTGCAGTCTCCCTCAAGGGGCTGGTGGGTGCTACACCTCACTTCCAGGTACCCTGCACCAGGACCAGCCCCCATCCTGGTTACCTTCACCGTCCTTAGGGCGGAGATACCAGCTAACAGACAACCCCACCTATTAGATGAGAAGACAAGCAGGAAAGATACCCATCTCCAACCAAAAAAATTAATAATCCTGGTTTCTTCCTTCGAGATTTTTCTTCTCCTCTTCTATACTCCCACCCTCACATCTCCAGCATATGTGAAACCAAGTACTGGGCATGAATTAGGATTTTGAGGACTGGGACATCTGAATAGTATATTACACTTGTGTAGTATATACCTTTTTTCTCCCTTTTCCTCCAATTTTGTTACCTTACATATAGGGGGGGAACCAATTAGGATAACTTCAGCGTCTGAGTTGAAAAATCTGCAAGCTCGACAATCCTGGAACAACACGTATCAAGCT